GCTGTGCAGATGTTTCTTCCCTGCAGCAACTGTGTCAAGCAGCAAGGATGGACCAGCTTCCGGCAGTTTTTAATGGAGGCTACATTATATTGGCATGACTGATTAAATCATTGGCCATTTGTAAATGAATTCAATCTCTAGCCAGGGTGTTGGACTGAAAGTTCCAACCCTCTACTCCTTTGGGTGGTTCCCCTGGCAACCATTTTGTTAGGGACTTTCCAAAAGTCACTTTATTAGCATAAACTCAAGTGTGGTTGTGTGGAGGAGAAGAAACTTTCCTCCACCCTCTTAGCTTTTTCTAGCTGGTCCCGTAATCAAATAGACATGAGACAGATTAACAAGAGGAAAAATGACCAAATTTAATTACATATGTAGATACGGGAACCCCACATACATGAGGTATATATGAGCTAAGGATGAGGCAAAATAGAGACAGGAAGGTCATTCATTCTCAGGAGAATAAAAGTGGATGTTAGAACTCTGCCCCACCCTATAGATAGGTCATAAAAAGTTATTTTTGATGATGACTCTTATTATGGGTAAGACCCTTAATTTAACTTCTTTAAGGGAGAGGTAAAAGTTCCTTGTGAACCCTCAGGGTCTCAATTGCCTTCAGCTCAAAATAATTCACATGCCCAAACAGCACATCTTGGGGAGGCCTGTTCTGAAGTCCTTCAGTTGAAAGGGCCTTGTTATGAATACAAAGGTTGCCCCTTTCACCCATGTTGCTCTGGAGCTAGTTCAGGAAGTGCGGACAAAGCCACATATTATAACAAAAGATTGCTCTTATCTTAGGAAATTACAAGGAATTTAGGAACTCTGTGCCAGGAGCCCTGATGAAGACCAAATATGTATTTCTTATTATATCACAACAAAATGTATCATATAGGGAAAGGGGGTTTTGGCCACACTGTGGCCAATGTTTAAAAGGTGGAGCTGTTACATGCAATATTAAAGACAAGCAAAAGGACAGATCAGAAAGAGAAAATGAAAATACAAGGGGAAAGGATTGGAAAAGACACAAGAGACTCTTCTTTCCTGTGTGTGTGTGTGTGTGTGTATTTAGAAGCGTCCTTTTCTTTGGAGGATTTGTGTTTCTTTTGATAAAGAATGCCCTTTTTTTTTTGTTTGTTTTTTTTGTTACTGTGGAGAGACACACTGTAAAATCATGGCCTTGGCTTATAAGGGGGACTCTCTTGCTCCTTTACTTTCCCATTGTTTTATAATGTTAAGTGTTGAAGGGTAGAAGAATAGGCCGCCTAAAAATATGTCACTGAAGCATAGGATTATTTTGAGTTGAAAGTAACTGAGAAGCAGCAGGATACAAGAAAGGCTCTCTGTTCTCCTCTATTTGTCTAAAAGCAGGACATAAACTTGAAGGGTGTTCCCCCTCATCTCTCTACCAGTAAGAACAGAAGAACTCTAGATGCTTATCAGCCAGAGAAGGCACCAGAGGAATCCATCTAACAAATTTTACTAATTCTTACTTTTCATAAATTCCCTTATATATTTACTCACGATTTGCTGTCCTAGAAACTCAAAGTCCTTTTCCTTTGCCTTGTCACTTCCCTAAAAATACAATGCTTTTTTTTTTAAGGTGCTTTATGAGCCCAAGTTCTAACCACCCTTCTGAGTTACTCATAATTGAGTGTTCTCATATATATGTGCAACACACATATTAATGGACATATTTTTGTTTTTCTCTTGTTAAATTGTCTTTTGTCAGTCTAATTTACAGGGTCAGTGAACTTAAGATGGGTAGAGAGAAAACAGTTTTTTCTCTTGTTAAAAGATAAACTGAGACATATTAAAAAATTTAAGAGTTTATTTGAACAAAAATTAGTTCCAATTGGGCAGCATCCAATCTAGCAGACAGAAAGGAGCTCTGAGGAGCTGTACAAAACCAAAGGCTTTTATAGCCAGAAGGGAGTGGTAATAAGGAATTTATATCAGGCAAAAAAAAAAAGTGTGCTGTTTATTACAAGCTTACTTTCCTTTAGGCCAGGGGATGGCACAGGTCCTTTGGCAGATTACCTAGTTAGTGCTGATCATGTGACTCCTGATCGACTGGTTTAAAATTCCATTTCTGGGAGAGCTGAATCTGTAATTAAGTTAATTCTCAGTTTGGTGATGTGGGATTTAGCATAAGCAACTCCATTTTGGGTGTGTTGTCTTGTTTATAACACTTTTCAACAGCATTTTACTAATAAAACTCCTAAGGTCTATTGTGACTTCAGCTTCAACTTATAAATTTGATTTGCCCTTTGAGAGCCTCTCGAGTTGCAGTCATTCCAGTGCCATCTTTTGTATGCCCCAAATATTGGGGCTCTGTGGTTTGGCCAACTTTTATTTTTAATTTATTTATTAGAGAGAGAGAGAAACATCAATTTGTTCCACTTATTCATGCATTCATTGGTTGCATCTTGTTTGTGTCCTGACTGGGATCGAACCAGCAACCTTGGCTTATCAGGACGATGCTCTAACCAACTGAGTACCTGGCCAGGGCTCCTTGGCTAACTTTGAAGTATTCAGAGAAATAGGGGAAGCAGACATAGATACCATGATGAATAATAATTAGTAACAGCTAATATTTACTGTACATTCACTGTTTTAATTACTATACTAGGTGTTTAATGCTTAACATCTAATTTAATCATCACAACATTATAACAACCTAGGTATTGTTACTTCCATTTTATAGAAAAGGAAAATGAGGCTGTCAGACTAATTTGTCCTATACTAGATCACTACTGAACAGCAGAATCAAGGCTCACATTCAGGATTGTCTGATCCTAGAGGCTGCACTCTTACCCACTATTCTGGACATGAATTTTTACATATATTACTATTCTAATTTAAACTATTGAAATTATTGAACCACTAGTGTTAGCAATTTCCCATTGACAGATCAATCAAAAATGTTTCAATGATTATAGAATCACAAACTGAACACATAATAAAACATTTCATTTTCTTGCTGTTTTAAGTCCACAAAGGCTTTTAGTTCATTCTATTGGTGTTTGACTTTGCAGGTCTCAGAAAAGGATGCATTCTGGAGGTGAATTTGATGTTTTTCATCTCTTCTACTTTCCCCTTGTGGGATTTCCTGTGGCGATGCTAATGATGATATTTGACATGGATCAAAGGCACACAAAACATAAGGGAAAAAATGCTGGAAGGAGCCTGGCTGACGGAATAACACCCCCCCCCCCCCCCC